GGAATAGCTAGAATGCTGGCTGCACCAAGTCATGTCTCCTTGGCACAGAGCAGGCCTACGAGCTTTGTGACTTTCTTGATAATCTGCCTAATGGCAATCGGGAAATACTTAAAAAGGAGAAAAGGCTTTGTCAGTTTGGATTTGGGCCAACTAAGCAGCCTTGCCGTTTCCTTCTCTGCAAGAAACTCTAAGTTAGGCTAATGCTACTCTTACGTTCTCTGGCATTCTTGTCTAAACAGTATTTGCAAGTCCTCAAACAAAATAAACATGTTAATGATTTCAGCAACAGTGATGGATGCAGAAGCTTTCAAAAGTTCCTTAGTGACAGCTTAATATAATAGTGTAATTATTTCTAAAGTTAGAGATAATTATTGTCACCTTAGCACAATAATTGGAATGGAGCTTCCTATATGAAAATCGCTCTTGTAGGGCTTCAACTGGTCATGAAATAACAGTGTATAAGGGCAAATAAATGCCCCATTATTCAGGTGAGGGACGCCCATCAGGCACTCTGCAATCAAAGAATGTAGGTGAGACAGAATGACCATCTCATCCGTCAAGCAGCCCTGTCCAATTAGGAGCATTTAAACTATTCCATGCAAGGCCGTCACAAAACAGAACCTTACTGCCATTCATGGGCCTAGCTAAGGGATATCATTGTCAGTTTCCTCTTTTCAGCATACTCAGAGAATAGTTTCAAATGAATAGAACATCTTTTAAAAATCTGCTTTTCCTATTTTCCCTCACTCTCAGAGTTGGTAATCTTTGTACTCAGTGACAGAGCACATCACCCCCAAAGAGATGAGTAAAATCATGTAAATTAGTAAGTAAAATAATTGTAAGATTCTGTTGGTAGAATCAGAAGTTTCAGTGGCCAGAAACATGGAGTTTTCCTTAAGAGCTCAGTAAAGTCAAAGATAGGGCCAGTCAGGAGACTGAGAGCCAGACTAGTAAACTGAAATTGGGGGCAAGGGACAGGGGTTGTGTCCCCTCTAGTCTTTGTATCCGCAGCACCTAGTGGCCCACTCAAATGTTTGTTGAGTACTTCGGATGGGAATGTGTGCCAGACCTTAAGTTAAAATGTGGATCAAGGGTCACAACTTTCAAAGGAAAATAAGTTACTCTAGAAAGGAGCATGGAGTAGCTTGACACTGTTGTGGCTGAAAGTGATTCTAGCTTAAACTGGCTGTGATCAGCATCCAAAGAACCAGAAAAAAAAATAGAGGGCGAATAGGCAGGAAACAGATTGTGCCTGACAGCCAGAATCTGTATCCCTGGGTTTGTTTTAGTGGGAACATATCCAATGGTCAAAGACTGATTAGTTACCATTTTCACTTCTTGTTATGGCCAAGTATGGATTGGAGGATATGTACAAGGAAATGGGGGGGTGGGGTCCTTTAACTTCCTTCCTTACTGGTCATGGCTCCATGTTCATGAGTTGAGGTTTCAACAGTTCCTCTCCTCATGGACCAGGGAGCATGTTCCTTTGGGTCAGATATCCCCATTATATCTATTCCATGCTTCGTGTGTGTGTGTGTGTGTGTGTGTGTGTGTGTGTATGTTTTAGACAGAGTCTTGTTCTGTCTCTCAGGCTGCAGTGCAGTGGCACGATCTCGGCTCACTGAAACCTCCACCTTCCAGGTTCAAGCGATTCTCCTGCCTCAGCCTCCTGAGTAGCTGGGACTACAGGCGCATGCCACCATGCCTAATTTTTGTGTTTTTAGTAGAGGCGGGGTTTCCCCATGTTGGCCAGGTTGGTCTCGAGCTCTTGACCTCAAATGATTCACCCACCTCGGCCTCTCAAAGTGCTGGGATTACAGGCATGAGCCACCACACCTGGCCCATGCTTCTCTTGTGGACATCAAAACTCAAACATTTTAGCAAGGTCATCACTGGTAGCTGTTAAATAGGAACTTTGTTAAATAAGAATGGTAAAAAGAAGAAATTATCTCTATCTGCATGAGAGTTACTGCCCCTCAACTCTGTCAGTACTTGGGAAAAGATTCAAGGGTTTGTGACCACTGTCCTCAGTCACCTTGAGTTAGACAAAATAATGGTTCCCCAAAAATGTCCATATCCTAATCCTCAGAACCTAGGAATATGTTGTATTACATACGAAGAAGGAATTGAAATTGCTGATGAAATTGCTGATGATCTGAAAATAGGGAAATGCTCCTGGGGTTATCTGGATAGGCCCAATGTGATGACAAGGGCTCTTGTAAGTGGAGGAGGCAGAAGAAGAGTCAGTGTCAGAGTGATGTGACATGAGAAAGACTGGACTGGCTACTGCTGGCTTTGAAGATGTTAGGGGGCCATGAACCAAGAAATGCAGGTAACCTCTAGAAGCTGGAAAGGGCAAGAAAATAGATTCTCCCCTAGAGCCTCCAGACAGGAACAGCTGCCACTTGCCAACACCTTAATTTTAGCCCAATAAGACTCATTTTGGACTTCTGACCTTCAGAACTGTCATTTAATAAATTTGTGTTGTCTTAAGCTGCTGTGTTTGTTGTAATTTGTTACAGCAGTAGGAAATGAATACACACCTCTTCCACTTCTCTCATCTATCATTAATCCCTGGGTACCAGATATAGAAACAAATAGAAAAAGAATGAGTGACTCAGGGGTATTAAGGTGGATCTGTGATCAGGCTGGTAAATGGCATTTTGTCAACATATTCCCAGTGGAACATGACCACCAAACAGATTAAAAAGACTAGTTATCTTCTCAAGCTATGTAATGGGTCATGTCCTGCTATGCACAAGGCAGACGATGACAAGTTTTCTTTGGACTTGACCATTTTAGAGTGACAGGGTTATTTGCAAGTATAGTCCGTTGAAAAGGTCCTTGTGGAAAGGGTAAAGTACTGCAAGTTTTTCAAGTAGAGAATCATCAATTCTTTTTTAATGGAAGGTTACAGATCAAATATTTTACTTGTATCTAATCCCTCCATCAGAACTCTTTATGAATAGAGTACAGGAACCTTGCAGCTTAATTATTTCTCCTCCACTCAAGAAAGATTATAAAGTTAAGGAGAATAGAAATTGTTTATAGGTGAAGCCAGGGGTGGTGACTCGTGCCTGTAAATCCTAGCACTTTGGGAGGCCGAGATAGGCAGATCACTTGAGGTCAAAAGTTCGAGACCGGCCTGGCCAACGTGATAAAACCCCATCTCTACTAAAAATACAAATACAAATAATAATAATAATAATAATTAGCCAGGAGTGGTGGCGAGTGCTTGTAATCCTAGCTACTCAGGAGGCTGAGGCAGGAGAATCACTTGAACCTGGAAGGTGGAGGTTGCAGTGAGCTGAGATCCTGCCACTGCACTCCAGCCTGGGTGACAGAGCGAGACTCCGTGTCAAAAAATAAAAATAAAAATAAAAATTGTTTCTAGGAACAGTACATGCCAACCCTGCTCTGTACATTTCTCCAAGTTTCTCACATTTTGGTCAACTGCAGCTGAAATGTAGCCAATATGGTATCTTTTCTAGAATACAAATAATAGTAGTGTCAAAAACTAACATAAGGGTTCTATTAACTATAGATATTTGGGCTGTTAATGAAATCTTCAGATTTTACTGTTGATTGGTTTTTACTTGATGGTTTCTTAAAGAAGTTGACCACCAAGTATACTTTGATGCTTATGTACTGTCACACTCTGTCTCAAAAGCATCTCTGCGGGAGTCCTTTTAATCTAATTGTTCCTGCTGAATACCTGGAGAAGTCGTCATTCAACTCCAGTAACCAATGAAGACTCCAAGAGGACTGTGTGTGTGATGTGTGTGGGAACATTTTTGATAGTGTACCTTTTCCCCCAGAAATTATGTTCATTAACAAAGGCTAATTCTCTTGGGGGCAAATATCAAGGTTCTTAAATATGGGTTTTATTACACCTTGTAACTGATTGTTTTCCCCTTGAGAACACATCTGAGGCATCATGAAAATCAAGAAGAAACTTGTAACTGTTGCTTGAAATACAACCTGTCAAGAATGCGTTTGATCTATGTGGCGAAACCAAATAATATGGTGTATGAATAATAGGTATTCCATTTTTAAATTCATTCCCTTGCTAACCACCAGACTGGCTTTATTTATTCTGGACCCGAGGCTAAAATGTCAGAACTGTGGTCATCTCAAAAAGCTCAACCTCTGCAGATGGAGTTAATGGAATCTCCTTAATTTGGCAAGTGGAGGGCACCAGCACGGTTCTCAGAATATTGACATCTGCCTTCGCTGTTGACATTTGGGATCCAGATTTAGTGCTTCCACCCCCATCTATCTGTGTCTAGCTGATCAAAGAAGCTTTTTTCACCCCAAAGATGGAAAAGTGGTTGAAATGGCCACTTTCCAAAGTTTAGGTACACTTGGGAAGCATTCTGTCAAGTTACAAGATAAGAAAAGCGGATGGAACTCAAGAGCCTTTTATCTTGATGCTAGAAGTGCGGAGGCTGAAGGCATGAAACCAGCCACTAATGCCATCAGCTGTGGAGGCCCCAGGGGACTGGAAGACCACCTCTCTGGTGAGAGTTCAGTACTTTCTCATGGTCGTTCAGTGACAGCATCACAGCTGGGAGAAGCTTGGGGCGATGCAGGCTGCCTCATACATTCAGAGACCTTTACAGGCAAAGGAGACCTTAGAAATAATTTCCTTGAGGCCAAAGAAGTGAAAAGGTTAGGCCAAAGTCACAAAGTCAGTTGGTAGTGGAGCCTACAATTCAGGGTTCTGACTGGGTTCACCATGTGAACTTCCCTCCACGTGGCGCTGTTCCTAACTAGCTTTCAAGTCAAACGTGGGGCCTTTGGCAACTCCAAGGCTTTGCCTTGCTCTGTACGGTACAGAGTCACATCCTTCTGAAGTGCTGGGGCCACAGCTGGGCAGAGCCAGCCAGTGGGCCAGGACAGCTGCTACGATGCCTGTATTTTTCCCCATTGAGCTAGAGTTCATAAATAGGAACACACAGCAGCACACTTTTAAGAAACATGACAGTGACACACCAAAGTGCAATTCTGCATCCCTTTATTTATAAACGAGTTGAGAATGGTGTGGTCCATTTGAGAGCCAGAATGGGATAGGAGCAGGGAGGGCAGGGGGCGCGCGGAGTTGGGGGAGGCTGATTCCAGTAGTTCGCGTTGTTCAGCACCAGAGCAAATGCTTGAGCATAAAGTCGTGCTTTAACCCAGACGGGTCTTATCTTATATGTACAGCATAGTCTTAAGTATGTATGCTCTACTTATGGCTTTGTCCCTGGACTCATCGCAGTGACACAACAGAAGAAAACTAGAAAGAAGTCTAGAGAGGAGAAGTTGCAAATGCCTCATGAGCTATTTCTTTTTTAAAAATCTGATGGCCAAGACTAGTGCTGAACGGATGCCTACGAAACAGGCACATCTCTGCTAGAGACGGGCTCATCTGCTTCAGCTGAGCCAGTGACACCGTCTCGCATTTCTCCCTGGGGTATGACTAGATGCTAAAATAAGTACTGAAGACGGAGAGAAAATAAATCCGTGCTCTTCCTGTCCCTCCCCCAGGGGGTGAAATCACAGTATCTAGTAGCCTAAGAGCAAAACTCAAATCCCTAAGCTGTGTCCCTTCCACTCAGACCAGGTTAGAAGCCAGGCCAATGTCTCGTGCCCTGCTCCTCTTGAGCCTGGCGTTCCTTTGCCTTGGTAAGGTCCCGACACACAGGAGCATGCTTGCCAGAAGCAAGTCATTCAGTGTGACTTACGGCACAGCAATTCCACCCTTGTTTCTTACCTGGTGGAGGGGTGACCAGTTCATTTTAGGGTCCCCATAAGCAGCTAATGTAGAAGTGCTGAAATGAAACAACCAGAGAGGCAGGGACCCCACATCCTGCGTGGGCATTTGCTAACCTTGGTTGTGCGTAAAAGGAACCCTTCCCTCTTCACCTGTCAGGGGGTGAGTTAACACTTGAAAGGGAGCGGAAAATCGGCCGGACGCGGTGGCTCACGCCCGTAATCCCAGCACTTTGGGAGGCCGAGGCGGGCGAATCACCTGAGGTCAGGAGTTTGAGACCAGCCTGGCCAACATGGTGAAAACCAGTCTCTACTAAACATACAAAATTAGCTGGGCGTCATGGCAGGCGCTTGTAACGTGGCAGGTGCCTGTAATTCCAGCTACTTGGGAGGCTGAGGCAGAACCCCTTGAACCTGGGAGGTGGAGGTTGTAGTGAGCCGAGATTGCACCATTGCACTCCAGCCTGAGCAACAAGAGCAAAACTCTGTCTCAAAAAAAAAAAAAAAAAAGAGAAGAAAGAAGAAGAAAGAAAGGAAGAAAGAGAAAGAAAGAAGAAAGAGAAAGAAAAAAAGAAAGAGGAAGAAAGAAAGAAAAAGAAAGAAGAAAGAAAGAAAGAAAGAAAGAAAGAAAGAAAGAAGAAAGCCAGCAGAAAATCACTACCCTCCTGCTCCCCTACAGCTTCAGTCCCACTTTCTCCCCTCTTCATAAGCTGCCCTCTTCTGCAGTCCTAAGTTGCTATCCTCTAGCCCTCCTCAGTCTGAAGCTTCCTCACTAGGGCAAAAAGAATCTCTTTCCTTGCTTTGTGTCATTCCTGCTTACCCCTCCAAGCTTGGGGCATATTTCTCATTCCAGCCTTAACTCACTCTTGGCCATTACAGTTGACCAGCTGGCCTTAACAAAGTGCAATCCAGTCTCCGCCTGGGAGCAGGGAGGTGGTTTGGGGGTAGGGGCTGGGAGAGACTGAGAGATGGCCAAAAAGTATCAAAAGTTGGGTTGCAGAATCCTCCCCATTCCTTCTCAGTAGATTTGCAGCCTCAAGAGGGTGGGGTGGGGGGGCTCACCGCAGGTTAGGAGGGTGAGATTTAGAACCCATTTATGTGTGGTTTAGGCTCATCCCTGGAACGAGCAATGGTTGTTTCCCATAATTGGCAGCAATGGTGACATTATCTGATGAGTCACGTAAGTGGCACCTGTCAGTATGGCGTGTAAGGCCTGCAAATGTATAGTCAGCCTGATACACTATTTGCTCCAGAGTGTAGGATTCAGGTAAAAGTGGATCTATCTGCCCTGGGCCATGGAGTAGGGGCACAAAAGGCCTTCCCAAGAGAGGCTCACTTATAAAGTGAGGTCCTGAAATGGTTTTATGAGAGCAGATTTTCTTTATCCTCCTTTCCTCCCTCCAGGAACTTCTTTCCTCCTTTTCCCTTGTTCCCACCACCTTCCCTTGCCTGGTTGGCCTCATCCTTGACTGGTACAAGTGCCAACTAACTCAAATGGTAGGCAGACTTGCATGGTTTGACCTGAGTGCGTGATGGAAGATGGAGACCAAATGGACACAATGGAAGAACGGGGCCCTTGTCCCTCTCAGACGAGCAATATTCTGGGTGGCCCTTGACTGCAAAAAGAAGTTTTCTTCTTCACATGCCGTGTTCCTGCCAGCTCTCTGTCTCACATGAGTGCTTCCCAGAGTCCTGGAGAAGGAAAGTGCCAAGAACAAAGAGGTTCCAAGCCAGCTCAGCCTCATAGTTTTGCTTCCCAGTGGACAGCACTCATCTCCAGGTGAATAGGGAGGTAGTTCAACCCCAACACAAAGGGGAAACACATGCCGCCTTCCTTCATTGGTTGCCCCCTTGTCACCTAGAAGGCTGGTTCCCAAGGCCTCTGAAAAGGGGTATTTCTATCACAAGAGATTCTGGGCTCTGCCTACAAGTCGCTGGTTTGGGCCTCTATTCAGTCAGACCCCAGCTCTGTCTCTGACTTTACTGGCATACCCATACAACAACCCAAAGAGTTTGGTTCTAGACCTTAACTCTCCCTGCTCATTTCACACAGGTGACTAAGGAGCAGGAATTTCAGACAACTCAGCAGGAACACTTAGAGTCCTCATCCCACTTGGCAAACCTAGGGCCAGAGATAATGGTGATACTACCTAGACCACTCAGATGCTGAGATCATAACTGAGCCCACAGTTCTCTGTAAAAAGTCTTCCGAGTTCTTCTTCACCCAAAAATGTTATAGGAGGTCACAAGAACAACATACTAATTTCCTGGTTGGGATAAAACGTTTCCACAGGAATCTGGAATGAGCTTGACAAAGTGCCCAAGTCACAAGAGAACAGATGGTTCTTGAGACCAAGGATTTCAGAGGAGTATTACGGTGGAGCGCAGGAGTGGGGTCTATTATAAAATGCCACCACTATATACTCATATTGCACATGGGATACACCCGGGGATGGCATATTGGAGCATATATAGAACAGATACGTGCAGGTAGCACCCCCTATCGGTATACTATGTTTGATACCTCAGACTGTTACTTGAGGTCTATGAAACCGTTAACTGATCAGAAATGGGAAAAGCCATTCCATAATAGCATCCTTTAAGGAGAAGCTTCAGGAGACATTTCTTGTCTGCTAAACCTGGAGCCAAAGCAAAGCAGCTCCTCTTTTTTATATATTAGGAAGTTTTTCTTTGTTGCAGTTCCCACAGATTAAGGTAATTTCTGCAAAACAATGAAGTCAAACCAGTGATGAGAAAGTACAACCAGGAGCACATCAGGCCTTACGTGGAGTTCTTGACAAAACTGTCCTTTGAATAAAAAGTTAAGGTTCACACTAGATGACCTTTTATAACCAGCCTAAAGCAAGGCTTTGTCTATGAGCCACGTTCATGGAACTGGAAGGAGTTGATGCGTTCCAACATCAGGTCTCAGTGGCTGGACTGAGAAGGTTGGAATTTGTCTTTAACTCGACTATTTCAGAAGCACTTTGCCACCTCTATTGGAAACAATTTTATTCTGGCAGAGCTGGGGTGGTGGGAGGCAACGTGCAGGACCCTTATGGACGCAGAAGTAGCAGGTTGAGGGAACAGCTGCTTCCACAGGTGGTTTACTTGGTGGGGGTGGTGGAAGGACAAAAGCAGAAGTCACCCCATCAGTGCAAGTCTCTCTAGGGAACTCTGCATCCTTCCTTAGCAAGGTTAGAGTGATTCTAGATGACGCTAAGGTTTGTGTAGGTTGTCCGGCTGGAAATCTCTGCACCTCGCCCAACTCTTGAGCTGTATGGAAAGTGAGAGAGAACTGGTCCCAAGACCTTCCCTTAGCAGAGTTCAGGGTCTCTCTGCTGAGCTGCAGCTCCTGTGACTATTACCCTTCAAACATCACCCAGGCAACCCTGTGACCCTCGCCCTCCTCCCCATCCTGCGTGGTGCGGCTCTTGCCTGCCAGCAGCCCCTACTTCTCATCCTCATCCCCCTCACTCATGCTGCTGATGGAGGCCGAGGCTGCTTTGGGTGAGGAAGGGGGTGAGGTTTTGAGTGGAAGCCATGAGAAGGTGGGCGATGGGGAGCGGGAAGGGGACCGGCTCCGGGTTGGGCTGCTCACAGGGCTCTGCTTCGGAGACAAGGCCTGCAGCATCCGGCTGCTTCTCTCTTGGAACATCTGCTTCTAAAGAGAAATTGGAGAGAAGGCATCTGTTAACTTCGCCATCTGAGACAGCAGCAAAACAAAAAGGTAAGGCAGGCAGGAGAGCCACTACCCCAAAACTCCTGAGCCCACAAACCTACACTCGTACCACATCCCATGTTGTCCAAGACTATGTATAGTAAGGAACTGAGTGATACTCAGGGGCAGTGACAGAAGAGTACAGTGATCGCTGGTTCTTTTTTAATTGAGACAGAGTTTCGCTCTGTCACCCAGGCCGGAGTGCAGTGGCCTGATCTTGGCTCACTGCAACCTCAGCCTTCCAGGTTCAAGCAATTCTCCTGCCTCAGCCTCCCAAGTAGCTGGGATTACAGGCGCTTGCCACCATGCCCGGCTAATTTTGTATTTTTAGTAGAAACGGGGTTTCACCATGTTGGTCAGGCTGGTCTTGAACTCCTGACCTCAGGTGATCCACCCACCTCGGCCTCCTAAAGTGCTGGGATTACAGGCATGAGCCACCATGCCCGGCTACTGCTGGTTCTTAACACTCTTTCCTTCTTCCCTTCTTTTCTTCTATCCACAAAATTTAACTGAGTGTCTCTGATTAGCCAGGCAAGCAGCCATGATCTGCGGACTGGAGGGTGACAGAAAACAAAACCCCTGACCTCATACCTTCACAGATATGAGGAGGAATCACACAATAAACAAAATACGGTATGTCAGACAGATCTGTGGTCTGTGAGAAAAAGAGAGTGAGAGGATAGCAAGTGGGGCTGGGGGCAGAGCGGCTGCGATTGCAAAAAGGGTGCTCAGGGAAGGCCCCACTGAGAAAACGCTTCTTGAGTGAAGAACCTGGAAGAGATGAGGGGAGGGACCAGGTGAATGGAAATCAGAGGGCAGCGCACTCCAGACAGAGCACCCCAAGAAAGGAGCATGGAACGCACACCCAGGAAGTGCAGGCAGGGCACTGCAGCTGCCTCGAGGACTGACGGGTGGGGAGGCGCTGAGGGAGGGGAGGAGCTGAGGGAGGGGGTTAGGAAGAGGTTGCCAGAGAAGGCACAGAGGGCTATGCCACGGAGGGCCTTGGCAGCCATTGTGAGAACTCTGCCTTTCAGTCTGAAGGGACCCATGCAACAGGTCCCAGGAAAGGAGGAGGCCATCGTGGCAGTGTGGAGACAGCTGGTGGGGAAGGGAGAGTGGGAGGCACTGCAGGAGATCAGGCCAGAGACATATCAGGCGGCAGTTTCACGTACAGTCTCTGAGAAGAGAAACCTCTGGAGAGTTCTGAGCAAAGGATTAACAATCTGCTGCTTGTTTTCAAAGGACCATTCCGACTGCTGTGTTAGGAACAGATGGCAGTGAGGCGGGGGCAGGAGCAGGGAGCCCAGTTATGAGCCCATTGCAATAAGAATCCAAGGCTGGGCATGGTGGCTTATGCCTGTAATCCCAGCAGTTTTGAAGGTCAAATCGGGCAGATGATTTGAGGTCAGGAGTTTGAGACTAGCCTGGCCAACATGGTGAAACCCTGTCTCTACTAGAAATACAAAAAAATTAGCTGGGTATGGTGGTGGGCACCTGTAATCTCAGCTACTCGGGAGGCTAAGGCAGGAGAATCACTTGAACACAGAAGGTGGAGGTTGCAGTGAGCCGAGATGGCGCCACTGCACTCCGGCCTGGGCAACAGAGTGAGACTCTGTCTCAAGAGAAAAAAAAAAAATTCCAAGATGGTGATGGAGCCTGGCCTGGCCCAGGATGACGGCAGTGTGGTGAAAAATGGCAGAATTCCTAGTATATTTTCCCCCATATTTTTACTGGGGTATAATAAACTCACCCTTTTTAGTGTACAGTTCTGTGAGGTTTTGTTTGTTTGTTTGTTTGTTGAGACGGAGTCTCACTCTGTCGCCCAGGCTGGAGTGCAGTGATGCAATCTCAGCTCACTGCAAGCTCTGCCTCCCAGGTTCACGCCCTTTCTCCTGCCTCAGCCTCCCGAGTAGCTGGGACTACAGGCGCCCGCCACCCTGCCCGGCTAATTTTTTGTATTTTTAGTAGAGGAGAGGTTTCAACGTATTAGCCAGGATGGTCTCGATCTCCTGACCTCGTGATCCACCCGCTTCAGCCTCCCAAAGTGCTGGGATTACAGGCATGAGCCACCATGCCCGGCCAGTTCTGTGAGTTTTGACAAATGCATACAGTTGAGTGACCACCACTGCAATCAAGGCATAGGAGGGTCCCATCAGTTCCCAAATTCCCTTGTGACCCTTTGGAGTCTCCCCTCCCCCAGCCACTGGCAACAGATCTGTTTTTTGTCCCTACAGTTGTGCCTTTTCTAGAATGTCATCAAAATGGAATCCTACAGTATGTGGTCTGGCTATGTTTTCACGGTAGAGCCAACGGGACTCACTGACAGATGGGACATGGGGTGTGGGAGGAACGGGAATCAAGTGACTCCAGTCTCGGGCCCGAGAAATTGGAAAGCAGTGATGCCATTTCCCAGTTTGGGGAAGACTGTGGGGTGGGAGGAGATTTTGGTGGTTAAGATCAGTTTACCAGTTTGGGACCTCATGTGGTGGTTGCTGGGTGCTTTCAGAATTGAGCCCTTCCCTGATGCTCCCACCGGGCCCCCAGTGCTGCCAGCCTACCGTGCCTGCTGCCTGCTGCTCAGCCCCCCAGACGCTGCATCCCACCAACTCCTGAGCATCCTGCCTGTGCTGCCTGGGGTCTTTCAATTGCTCACATTTGAGCCTTAGCCCCGAGCCACTCAGTTCAATCTTTTGATACGAAACTGGCCCTGAAAGCCAATTCTCCTATTTACCATCTTAGACGTGTCCTTTGGATTATTCATTTTACATACCATTACAGAGATCTTCTGGGGACCAGGTGCTACACAGGAGGAAGGGGAGGAAGAAGAGGGTAGAAGAGGTAGTCATGTCTCACCTGGGTCTTTGATAATGACCAGGAAGAGGTGGGTGGAGATGGAGAGTGGGTCCATGGGAGCTGGTAGAGGATGGCCTTTCCAAGCAGAGCACACTAAGTAAGGAGTACTAAGTCTAAATTGCTTGGTGTGGTCAGAATCCCAAATGCCCATGGGGTGGTAATGGTCTGGACCTAGAGCACCACAAGGAGACTGGATTTCCTACTCAAGAACCCCCAGAAAGATTTTAATCAAGGGCGGAGTCTGATTAGATCTGTGTTTTGGAAATACCTTTGGGTGCCAGCATAAAAGCAAAGAAGGAAACCATAAAGAAAAACATTGACATTTAACTACACAAAATTTTTAAATTTCTGTACCAAAAGAAAAAAAAAAAAAAAAACCACCATGATAAAAGGCAAATGAAAAAATTGTGGAATTTTTTGCAACGTTTACCTACAAGTGATAGATCTCGGTATATAGACAGAGCTTATAAATCAAAAAGAAGGTGAAAAGCTAGTAGAAAAATGAGCATATGGCCTGTATAGGCAAGTCACAAGAGAAATTTGTAAATGAGCTAGAAAAACTGTTCATCATCACTAGTAGTCGAACAAATGCAAATGGCTGAAATGAGATGCATTTTATATATCAGATTGCTAAAGTTTTAAAAATTTGCTACAGCTAGTGAGGGCTCAGGAAAAGGGCTACCCTCATGTTACTGCTGGTAAGAGGATAAAATAGCAATGCCTTTCTGAGGGGTAATTTGGCAATAGATGCAAAAATTTCTATTTTCTGAGGAGATAGAGATGTAAGTAAATCTTTATTGTGTATAATGGATATTCAATGCAATGTATAACACACAACACTGCAAATTCTCTAACCAGGTTAGAGAAACCTGTACAACTCCAAGATGATATAATAAGCAGATGAGGAGAATCAGATTCTTAAATAATATTTCATCATGTGAGAAAATGCTCATGAGCAACTGCAAAGCCAAAATGATTTTAGAACACTATGTTCTGCATGATCTCAAGTTTGTAGAAGGAATGTACGTATACGGAGATAGGAAACAGATGGGAGTGATAACCCGAAATGTTAACAGAGACTGCTCTGGATGATGAGACTGCGAGTGATTTTCAGCCCCTTCTTTACTTTCTAATAGTTATATAATGAATATATATTACTTTTATCATCATAAAAAAGCATCACAGTAGGAAGAAAGAACTCAGGTAACCCAAGCAAGGAGATTAGGCAGAAGGGCAGGTGTTACACTAATGACATTGGTAAGGAACTATTAACGCCACAGGCACATCACCAATAGCACTGCCTGCCCCCAACATTCATTTTTCCTTTCTAAACTCTAGCCCCTTACTTTTTAGAGTCCCAAGTTTCCTCTAGCAGATATAATAACATATGACGGCTGATTGCTCAGGTCTTTTCCAGATTTAAAATTCCACACGTCTGCTAATATACCAATTATTTACCTTCCATTAAGGCATTGATAATTCTGCCAAAAGACATCAAACCCACCTCAAAGTCAAACAGAAAAAAAAGGTGCAGTACAACAGCACTCCCTTAGATTAAACCCATTTATGAGACAAAATCAAATGCCATAAGGATTGAGTGGCCTATTATTAACAGCAACATTTAAAAACATTTTTGAACTTGTAGCAGGCACTTTAAAATATGTGTTTTTATTACTGTAATCTTTAAGTATATTTTCTGTGGCAGCCATTAGGCCTCCTGCTGTTAATGGATTGTCAGCATTTCCATCAGAAGTTCACTTTCTAAGAAATCTACGACTTGTCTACTGTAGTTTGAATCAAGCTCATAGCTGAGAATATTCTGCCTGAGGGGATGAAAGAACTTGAATCTTCAATGATAAACAACGGTGGCGCACTTCATAAAATGCAATATCCATGCAAAATAACTCCCCGCCTCAATTTGCCAGCTCTCTGATCTGTTTCTGGTGCATTTTGAAGGGTGGTTCCCCTGCAAAGGAGCTGAATTCAATACAGTCAGGAGACAGTTTGTAATGAGCTTCCTGGGAAGAAAAGCACTTTACAAATATAACAAATAAGGAAGAGCATGCATGACATTTTCCAAGAGTAAAGGT